TGAGCATATACTTCCTGGTGGCCTGTTTTGAAACACTGAGCAATGGTTGCCTCGTCTCTTCTAGTCTGATGAGAGCATCACTGAAGCTCTTGCTACTTTTTTTTTTCTTCCCAGGCTGCTGTACAGGACAGATTGAATGAGCAAGAGGGTGTACCAAGTGTTTTCAACCCACCGCCATCCCGACCCCTGCAGGTTAATACAGCTGACCACAGGATCTACAGCTACGTTGTCTCCAGACCACAACCAAGGGCAAGTTGTTTCATCACTGGAACCTCCCGTTTTTATTTTATAAGTTCATTTACCTGGTTATGGTGTTCTCTGTATGATTGGACCGAAGGAAATACTCAGAATGTAAACCTGTTAGCTAGACTAGCTCCTTGGCAGATTTATTGGATTTATCATTTTTCCTTGATTCCTTAATGAACGATAGAGTAACTGTCCTTTTTTTCCCATTTCTATGCCAGTTATTTGAAGAGTTTCATTTGCCTTGTTTTGAGTAATAGTGCTTTATTTACATGTCTAAAAATGTTTGCTACATGTTTAATAGAGCTTCAGCTTCTAGAATGTTACTGAATTCTTTGTTGCTTCCTTTTGCTTAAGTTTATGCTACGTCTAGGGAAGGACTGTGGGGGCCTTGGCCATATCTTTGAAATTAGTCTTGAAGGGCCAGTAGCAAGGAGGTGGTTCAGTTAAATTCGCAGGCATTTAAGAGTGCCCCAGTGCACTTGATATTTTGCTGTTGGAGAGCTAGAGATGAACAGAGGCATTCTTTCCCCTTCAGATTATTTGCAGTGAAATTAGGTCAGCCAGGTGTGTGTACTGATAATGAGCTCCAAAGAGCTTTTTGGAGTTTCTTTTTCTTATTCTTGGGGTTACATGCACCTCTTACACTTGGAGTTAGAATTCCAAGAAAGCGCTTCCTTTACCCTTGCAGCAGCTGGAATTTACTCCATCATCCATCATCATACCTCTTTGTGGAATATTTGGCAGTGTTTTAAAAATGGAGTTTCTAAGTGGTTGCTTTGGGGTATTCTGAAGCAGAAGAGCAGAGATTCCTTAAACAATCACATGACCCAAGGGGTCCTCCTTTGTGTGCCCAGTGTTTCCTCACTTTGTTTTGGGCTTCACTGTTTGGGACCCTGATGTCCACTGTGGAGCCTCCGAGCTCTCAGGCCATGGGCACAGAGAGGGTCTCAGGTTAACACAATATGACGTATAAGAAATGCTTTGTAAACTTTAGAGCCGTTTATCTATGCTACTTAATAATAAGAGCAGCAAAAATCAGTGTTGTTAAAATAATAATTAACATCATCACTAAGATTAGCAGCTGTATGGAGGTTTATAGTTATGGTTAATATAATTATGTCGTTTATATACAAATGCCCAGGGTAGTAATAGTGGTTATCTTTCTTGTTATTTTTAAATATTGTATTTTAGTCTGTTAACTCTAAAAGGGAAAGAATGAAAATTTATGATTTGGGGAGGAAAACTTGCAGTTGAATTTGACAATATAAGTAGCAGAAAAAAAGTGTTGAAGCAAATTTAATACAAAAATTATGTGATAAAAGGAAAATATAATAGTGTTAGATGAAATGAGGTCAAAGGTAGTTGGTTTTTAAGAAGGGTAAGGTGCCCAGAAAGAGAGAATCACATATTGCAGAGGGAGACTCTTGTGAAAGGACGGAAAAGAGTGAAAATCTTAACTAGCAGTTTTACAAGGTATTAAGGATTGAGAGAATGAGCTCTAACTTTGTTTTTGGAATTTCAGGGGCTGCTTGGATGGGGTTATTACTTGATAATGCTTCCATTCCGGTTTACCTATTACACAATACTTGATATATTTAGGTACGTACCTTTGTATTTGTGTGTTAGTAGTTGTTACTAGCAAGAGGGTAAACTTCGGAGCTAAAACATAGACTGGAATGAGATTTAATTTCTCTCAGTTTTGACTTGCCAGTTTGTCATCAGATTGAGTACTTTTTCTGAAGTGTTCATATAATGTGAAAATACTTTGTTTTTCAAGCGTAACAGCAGATGTTGTGAAATGGAATTGTTTTAAAGCTAGTCTTGCCTGTCATTTTCACAAATGACTGCCTACATGTGTGACATCCTCCCCATCCCACCATGTTTGTTCCCTGACATTTCCTAGTTAATCTTCGCACCCGTTCCTTTCCAACCACTGTTATCTACTAGCTTCACACTCTTGTAACTTTACCCTGAACCGTCCTGTAGTTCATAATCCCAGCAAGTTCTCTTCCTCTGAGTTCACCTACTTTTTTCTGGATTCCTCGTATAAGTTTCACCGTTCTAGACACACCTTCAATACATTTCCCGCTGTCCTAGCAACCCATGGGTTGCTGGCACTGGACCCCTTCCACATGCATACCCCTTTGCTTCACACCTTCAAGTTTCTTCTCACTTCCTTCATGTACCACTCAGCTTAGTACAGGAAGCTACAGAAAGGCTAGAAACTGTCACGGGGCCCAAGTTGCTGGCACATCAGGATTGGGGTGTCTGGCCTGGAGCTGAGTAGTAGATAAACCTACACCAAGGCTTTGTGGAGAACTAAAATATTTATGAGCATCCAGGCCAACAGATGGAGCTAGAATATGTCATCTGGGCCTTGCATACAGGGCAGCCTGTACCTCCCTCTGAATATGGGCTGATCTTTGCCTTGCTCTCGGGAGCAGAGGCTGAAGGTAGGGACCCGGCAGTTGCTGAAGTGTGAGGATCAGACAGTATCTTCCACCTTGGCCGCTTGGTGTCTTATGGAGCTGCTGCCATAATAGCTTCCTTGCTTTAGCAAAGGTCTTGTTGTTCACCAATTAACGATTAGTACTTTTCCCATCCTGTTTTATTTAAGAATGGACATATCAGAACCTTTAAAATCATAATGAAGACTCAGGGTTTTTTTTTTAATTTTTGTTTTTGTTTTTTAATGGAAGTACTGTGTATTGAACCTGGGACCTTGTACATGCTAAGCATATGCTCTACCACTGAGCTGTACCCACCCCATGAAGAGTCAGTTGACACCTCTATTTTTTTTTTAAGCTGATTATCATAAATTGTGTTGGCCATGGGGATATATTGTAATGAGAAACGGAAAAGTTAAAACCTTTATCCGTTCTTGAATGGACCAAAATTTGAAAACTTAAAAGAGTAATAAGATAATCCTAAAATACTTGATTTTAGGGAGTTATCAAAACATCAGTCTTCTGAAGGATTTAACCACTTCCCCCCCACACAGCTTCTTATGTTTTTAGTTTGCTCTGGAATGTTTGTGTCAGTGAATTTGATTTGATTGCTCAGGGCAGATTCCAAATGAAATTGTGTACATATGGGGAATTTGTTAAGAGAATAAGGAATTGGCTCAAGATTTGGTAAGGGAGGTATAATAGTGTAGTCAGCTTTTCTTTGCTGAAAAATTCCTGAAGTATATAAATATTGTTTGCTTTCCTTCGAAAAAATATGCATGGCATGTGTTACTAATTTTAATGCAACTGTATCATCCAAGCAACTTGTTTAGTGTTATGTAGCACATTGACTTATCAGGCCTCTGCTTATTGCCTTTTATGGAAACCCAAAGGATAAACAAATGGCGGTATACAAAAGTGATGGGCTGTTCAGAAACAGGTGTGTGGTACCACCTTTAACCTTCCAAGAGCTGTCAGGTCTCCAACTCTGCCAGTGTTGTCTGGCTCAGGTTCATAACTCCCTCCGTGGAAGCTGTTAACTGATTCACTGAGCAGATTTACTTGCCCCGTTGAAGAGTAAGTAAATCATGACTGCAGGTTTGGAACTGAAGTTCTTGTCCATAATTTGAACAGCGTTTTAGAAAAATCAAAATTCCAGGAGAACAAAAAGGAAAGGGAAATGCAAATAGAACACCAAGAAAGAGACAGAGCTCTGTCCCAGAGCAGCGCTGTCCAACAGAGCTTTCTGTGATGATGGAAATACTCTGTATTTGCACTGTCTAAGGTGGAAGCCACTAACCACATGTGGCTGTCGAGCGCTTGAAATGTGGCTGCTATGGCTGAGAACTGAATTTTGCACTTAATTTCCATGTCAGTTTCGATAGCCGCACGTGGCTGGTGGCTGCTCGATCAGGCAGCGCCATTACAGAGTCTGGGAGCACGGCCTGACCTGTGGTCTCTTTTGGATACTGTGTTTTTCCTTTCCCAATTCTTATAGCCCTAAATTTTTCTGCAAAAAGCACTCGGGATTTATTTAGGCCAGTGTTGGAATGTATAATCCTAGTCATTTGCATTCTTCTTAGGCAGTGGTACAACCCTTACTGTTTTGTGCCTTTTGAGCCAGATTGTACTCTCAGGGTTGATGGCCCACTCACAGGCCGTTCACTGAACTCCCTCTGCGGCCGTGCCTGCGGCTCTGTGTGGGAATCTTTACAGACTGGCCCACTCCGTGTGCACTACAGTAAGCCGATTCATGTGATATTTATTCCTTCCTCCCCAGGTTTGCTCTTCGTTTTATACGGCCTGACCCTCGCAGCCGGGTCACTGACCCCGTTGGGGACATTGTTTCATTTATGCACTCTTTTGAAGAGAAATATGGGAGGGCACACCCTGTCTTCTACCAGGGAACGTACAGCCAGGTCAGTGCCACAAACCATATAGATGCCAATTTATTGATATGATTCTATCCTCAAAGGAAAGCATAGCCCAGCACTGATCATGTCACTCTTTTATTCAGAAATCTAAAATAGCTCTTCACTGCTTACACAGAAAAATACCAAGCCCTTTAACTGGGCCCTCCTTGATCCGATCCCAGCCTCCTTTTGAGGTCTTTCCTGCATAACTTGTTCCCCATACCTCAGGTTCCAGCCAAACCATTTGCTTAACATACTCTGTACTTTGCCACCTCTGTGCCTTTGCTTTTGCTTTTTACTGTCCCTCTCTCTGGAGTGCCGTCCTCACGCTTTCACTAATTGGCATCTTGCCCATCCTTCACCAGCTCGTGCCACTCCCCTCTTACACCCTTTCCTGACTGTTGTCCCCTGCCCTGCCTGCCTTACACTCTGAAGTAGTCATCTTTCCTTTTGTACTCTCACGGTGGTGTTTTTTTTTTAACTAGTATCAGTTTCACATTCTTCCTTATTTTATAGTTGTTTGTGTTCATGTCTTATCTCCTATACCAGACTAAAAACCCCTTATAGACAAACCGTAAGTCTTCCTGGCTCCCTCACAGAACTGAATAAGGGCATCGACCATAGACTTGAGACAGCACATCTCATTCAACCCAAGCCACACAGACCTTTGACTGTTACTAACTCTCAGGGGGTAAAAATTAAGAATTCTATGGGTGTTAGGCATATCTCTAGTTTACTGGAGAAAAATGCAGAAGTAACACTGTGGGCAGAGGCCTAAGGGGGCTTCCGTTCTGCAGCCTCCAGGATTCCTGAATCTGGGGAAAGAGAAGAGTGCTCTACTCTTGCTTCCTGCTGTGATTCTCCCACATCTGCTTTTTCTCACTGGCTGCTCTCACCCCACTCAACAAGCATTAAGCACCTACTGTATGCCACACATCGTGCTCAATGCTAGAGATACGGACAGAGATGGGCACCTCTCATATACCTCTTTGCTGTGATCCTGAGAGTGGACCCCCATTGGTCATTCAGGAAATCTTAATTGAATTATGTGCTTGATATTCTGCAAATGCAGATGCATACGCAGGAATCTTGGACACTAGCCTTGTCTCTGAAGGTTGTTTAAACCCCATGCTCTTTAGGAGGCCTCTGGGCCCCTTAGTCCCTCCAGCTCCGCCTGGTGCGTGGCCTGCAATCAGGCTCATCTTCTCAGTGTGTTATTTACAAGGATGTTGTAGCTGTAAAGAGGCAAAATTCTTGTCTCCTTTTTCAGGTCAGGTTCACTTGTTCTTAAAACTTTCTTTAGACTGTGGGAACAGCTGGCTTTTCTGTGATTTGAGGGAGGGGGAACTTTCTTCATCAGCCTGTCTACTCTCATGTGCCTGATGCAATTTAAATCCTAACAACACTGAAACCTTTTCATTGAAGCTTGTTAGCATGGACTTTCTGTAGGGAGAGAAATGCCAGGGGTGTGAAGGTAGAAGCCCAGGAATTTTCTGGCTTCCTTGCTCACATTTTTTCCTCATTTCTTCTTTTGTTCCTAAATACATAGTGTATCCATTAGGACACTTAGCCTAATTAAAAGCTCAAAGCACAGTCATCATAATAATTGGTGTCTTTTTTTCTCACAGGCACTCAACGATGCCAAACGGGAGCTGCGCTTCCTTCTGGTCTACCTTCACGGAGACGATCACCAGGACTCTGATGAGTTCTGTCGGTGCGTGGACTGACCTTTCCTCTTCTCTTTTCTGGTCTTACTTGCTGACAGTTTACAGTAAGCAAGTTCTTCTCACCCCTCTCCACAGCAACACACTCTGTGCACCTGAAGTTGTTTCACTAATAAACACTAGGATGCTCTTCTGGGCGTGCTCCACAAACAAACCTGAGGGATACAGGGGTAAGTTGTGCTGCTTTTGTCTCACTGAGATGGTTGGGGTATCTTTGGAATAATCTGGAAAGACGTGCTCCTTGTGTTCATGGCTGACTGTTCTGCAGTCCTGAGGGGTGGCGCGTGTGTTCCCTCCACTTCATGGTTTAGGGAGTGGGCTCAGGGCATTCAGGCCAATGGCTCAGGGTCACGCAGTCGGCAAGTCTGGAGCAAGCTCAGGTCTGTCAGACTGGCCCATTCATTGCAGTTAACCTTTGCCAGAGCCTGTCTTATTTTAAAACACCCAGTCCTGGCCAGCAGCTTACCTTTGATCTTAATGGGCTTCCTACTGAAGACTCCATTCTTGTCACCAGCAGTTTTAACAGAGCTTCTTGCACAATGAGTTAGTTGTTTGAGTACCTTGAGTACTGATAGGGATTCAGAAAGCTCAGATCTATGTGGACTGTAACTCTTAGCTGGAGGCCAGTATTTTTAGAAGTCAGTATCTAAGATATAAAGGCATCCAGTGAAGGAACATGTAGCTACTCTGCTGCTACTTCTATTCAGCAGCTTTTGAGGATCTGCTAGCACAGCAGGCCCTGTGCTGGATGGATCCTGAGAACCAGAGATGCAGCAGGTGAGCAGGTGTCTTCCCTGCAGCCTGGCCTCTGAGTCTTTCCTCCTAGTTGGTTTTAAAATACCTCCTAAGTTCCTGTGGTGTATGTTTTGCTATTCTGATGTGGCTTTTGGTGGTGAGGGGTGATGGATAGAAGGAGACTAAGGATTTTTTTCCTTTTTTTAACATATATTTGTTTTAATTTAATTTATTATTATTTTTTTATTTTTTATTTTCCCCCTAATGGAGGCACTGGGGATTGAACCCAGGACCTTGTGCACGCCAAGCACATACTTTACCACTGAGATGTACCTCCCCACCCTCAAGGGTGTTTTTAATAGAAGCTTAAAATCTCTCCTTTCAAGCCATAAGAAAAAACATAGGCAAAACTCTTTATGGTAAAATCTTGGTTATTTGGGAGACCAACTTTCTAAATTCTTTTGGAACAGAAAAACTAGCCCTTTTTGGCAGGGTGGGGCTGGTGGGACATAGGAGAGAGGGTAAGAATTAGGTAAGAGAAGGAAAAAACCAGAGGAGAACAGTGGTGGAGATTACCTCCAGCAGCACAGGGCTGAGACCGTACGCTTGACCCTGACGTGGGGAAGTGGCGCCGAGCAGCAGCCAGACCCTTTAGAGATCCTTTTCCTACCGGCACTGTCCTTGAACTCTGCAGCAACAGCATGACAGCCGCGCCCCACCAGAAAAGCCTATCCTGTTCTAATCAGATTACCTAGGAATAGGCACACAAATAAATAGCAACAACAAAAAGATTTAAGAAACTAGGAGGAAAAAAGGCAGGGAATAAATGACACCGCCCTTCTTTCCCAGCCGAGACTAAAGCAGTTCTAGCTTGTTGTGAAAGTCTGAGAGTTGATCTGTTTCATCCCTAAGTCCTGCCCTCGATCTGTTGGGTCTTCTGTTAGTCTCCCAGGCTTTACGAGAGAACACCTATCCATTCCTGGCCATGATTATGCTGAAGGATCGGAGGATGACTGTGGTGGGACGGCTGGAAGGCCTTATTCAGCCTGATGACCTCATTAACCAGCTGACATTTATCATGGATGCAAACCAGACTTACCTGGTGTCAGAACGCCTGGAAAGGTACAGGGGAGTTCCTCTCTGGAACTGAGAGGCCAGCTGCAGACTTGGGTGCCTTACTTAGAGTTTCACAAATCCTGATTTCTTCTCTGTGTTAGGCAACTTTAAAAGCCTTGTTCATTTTGTGTTAAGATTTTTTACATACTTTTACCTAAATAACTGTCCATCAGATCATCTGTTCTTAAAACATAGAGTCCTATTCAAAATAAAGCCAAGACTCTATGCTCAGGAATAGATATGTCATTTAAAGCAGCTCAACATGATATAAAGAACTTAAATGTAAAAACTGAGGAGTGGTTATAATTCTCCCCTCATTGCGTAAGTATTGTACATTCATTAATGTAGAAAACTCAGGAAACAGAAAAGCACAAAGAAATTTTAAAACACTCATAATCCTACCACCACTTTTAACATTCTGGGATATTTTCCTTTAATTTTATAAGCACAGACACACATTCCTATGTACGTACACAATTTTTTGGAGCGGAAGGAGGAAATACTCCAAAACATTACAGTGTTTTTTCTCTTTGGTTAGTAGAACTCTGAATATTTCTGTATTTTTTAAATCTTCTAAAATGTGTGTATGTGGTTTTTTGGTTTTACGAAAGCATACATAAAAATGCGGTAACCCAAAAAGACATTTACCTGTGAAATCTTGGTCATTGATCATTTTATAGGAATAATACTGTGTGGAGAAAACTTGGCCTTTTCTTTTTCTGCCAAATTAAACTCAGAGAAGAGATGGCTCATTCAGATATTCAGCGCTCTGCTTTGGAACCCTTTATGGGAATGTGAAATAGTCATCTGCCAGGACTGTCAACCTTTTGACACCGCCCCCGCCCTCCCCCCAAAAAAAGGTTTCGATCTAAGAAAACACAGAGCTCTGCGAGATATATCTTTTCCCTCTGCGCTGTTGCTCTGTCCGCAGGGAAGAACGAAACCAGACCCAGGTGCTGAGACAGCAGCAGGACGAGGCCTACCTGGCCTCTCTCAGGGCTGACCAGGAGAAGGAGCGCAAGCGGCGGGAGGAGCGCGAGCGCAAGCGGCGGAAGGAGGAGGAGGTGCAGCAGCAGAAGCTGGCAGAGGAGAGGCGGCGGCGGGTAGGGAGCCGCCCGAAGTGGTCTCTTCTGGCGTGGGAAAGGGGAAGCTAGATGATGGGGTAGTGAGTGACTTACAGTCTCCAATGCCGAAGTCTTTTAAAAATTTTTTTTTAAGTTTTTTTTTTTTAAACCAAATACAAGAGTGAGTGAAAGTCAGGCAAAACCGCTCTGTTCCATGAAAAGTAAAGCGGTCGAGAATGCTGATTCACAGCAGTAGTGTTCAGCGTTCATTCTTAGTACAGCGTTAGCTCATCTGACACTTGATTCATTATCTTGTTTCATTGTGTGTTGCCGCTTGATTAAAGCTTGTGTCTTTTGGTCGTTCCCTTTTGTCAAACAGTTAAGTATCTTAACATAGTCAGTAAATAATACATGTGATGCAATAGCATGTGATCAAATACATAGAGTTTGAATTAGGGTGTTTCTGATTCTCGCCAAGAAGTTTTTCTTCTGATGCTGGTCATTAATTTTTCATCTGACTGCCCAGTAAACCTGCATATTGTTGAATTTCTGGTTTCCTTGCTCCCTAATAGGAGCTGTAGCCTCACTCTGCTTTGTGTCTCTGCAGAACCTACAAGAGGAGAAGGAAAGGAAGTTGGAATGCCTGCCCCCGGAGCCTTCCCCTGATGACCCTGAAAGTGTCAAAATCATTTTCAAATTACCCAATGATTCTCGAGTAGAAAGACGATTCCATTTTTCACAGTCTCTAACAGTAAGGACTACTTGAGTTGTGTGACGTATATACAGTCTGGACTGTAGATTTGGAAGCTTTTAAGGACTTGTAAGAGTCTTGTTGGTGTATCTGCTGCTCTGATGAACGAGGGCGAAGGGGGTGGGGCAGAGAGAGAGAAGAGCGCACTGAATCGTTGCAGTCTCCTTCAGACCTAGCTGCCAACTCAGAGCAGGTACTAAGGTTTTATTTCACCATGTCCGAGCTCTGCTAGGAGGAAACGATACTTGCTTGTATGTTTGAGGTGGGAGGCTCTTCCATGCTGCTCGGCCTGCATTGTCTTCAGATCCCTCACTGTGTAGCGAGAGCTCTGTCTGCACTGCCCTGGAGGCTCTGGCATTATACGTTACGCAGCTGGATGTGAGGGCTCGGGCAGGCTGCGTGCAGTTGTCACTCGGCTCATTTAGCCCGTGAGCAGCCCCACCCAGTTCCGTAGGTAAATAGTGTTTGCCATTCCTTAGGGATGTAGTTAGAAGCAGAGGCTCTCGGAGTCTTACAGAATGAGGATCACATTCTCATTGTTCTGGTGTGAATAGATATGTTTCCTTGGTCGCTTTAACCTCTAAATTCAGTCTGTAACATGGGTATAATCGGCAGTCTAATAGGATGGTTAGGATTAAGTTCGTACGTAAAGTGCTCAACATTGTACCTGGCACTTAGTAACTAGCACTCAAATGTTTTTGGTGTTTATTATCAAAAGGAAGTTTCTATTTATATTGAGAGTCGGTATGTCACCTTTCCAAATTTACAGCTATAATAGATTCTGGCATTTCCCTGATCATTTGACGTAATCCAGAATAAACTGCTTAATAGGAGTGTGGGTGTACTGCAGTCAGGGGAGGCACATTCATTACTTCTCCCTGTGTAACTGGAGAGGACTGGGCGAGCTACGTGACCTTCTGTAGGGCCTCGGGTTCCCGTGTGTACAATGGAAACGTAATCTGCCATCTGGTAATGTCAAACTGAAGGTACGTCGGGCAGTGTGCTGGGCGCGCTGGGGGTCTGCAGGCAGCTGGGATTCCTAGAGCTTGCTGGCCAGTAAGGAATGCAGGGCGGTTCAGAGAGCTAACTCAGCAAAAAGTTGTGAGGCGTCCTGGTGAGAGGGAAGCGGTAGTGTCCTCATTTTGCATGTCCCTTGTTTATACACTGATTTATACGGGGGAGGGTGCCCACGTCTCTAACTCTGGAACTTTCAGTTGGAGTAACATAAGTGAGCCTCACACAGGACCTTCCACGTCGTAGGTGGTAGATGGCCCCTAAGTGTTCGTTTCCTTCCTCAGTGTGTTTCCTGACTACTGGTTTGTGTACGGATTTTAGTTTGCAGCTGTGTTCACTAGCAGTTTCTTTATAAGTGCACCTGAGCTTTTATGATGCGTTTACTCTCCAAACTCTTACTAGGTATCTGAAAACCCTAACCAGAATTTACTCTCTTGAGAGTTTTGGAGGAAAATCTATTAGAATTGTGGAACAGAATAGACTTGTGGCGCCAAAGGGGAACCAACCCATTTGTTTTGTTAACTATTTAATCCTTGTAGGCTTTTAAACAGGTTCACACTCAAAAGTTATTTTAAAATCAACAACAGCTTCAGGCGGAGAGGAATACCTGGTAAATGGGGACAGGGCTCAGAGATGGGAGGGTGTGCGTGAGGAGTGCAGGGGCGGCGCTGCCTTCCACTTAATGCTCGTAGAGTGAATAACATGTACCTGAACGAAGAGTTGTAGACGTAGTGCTCTTTCTGACCTTGTGTGATCTTCCTGTGAGCTCTGCCTTTCATAAATACTCTGAATGAGTGAGTGTTCAGTGAAGAGCTCAGCTTGTACCTGGTGCTTAGCTCCTGGGAGTGGTTAAATGCTAGGATAAAAAGGACCAACTACAGAAAAACTTACAGCTCCCATAAGTGGGCAGAAAAGTGGCAGCTGACTTTCTCTTAAATGAATGCTTATAAGAGAGAATCCAAATTACACTCAGCCCAGAGATCATTTTTCTATCCATTGTGAACCAAAAGGGACCCCTAAAGGTGATTTCACCTGTTCCCTGGTGGTATTAGCACATCGCCAGTGAGAAACAATAAAATTCCAGTGTTGTGCCAGTGTTGAGTGTTGTCAAGCAATGAGACAGAGTAAGGAACTGAAAATGAGATTGACGGATCAAAGTATAAGTTTATAAAATCATGAATGGATTAGGTAAGAGGAAGAAGAATTTACTCAAATGGATCTGTGGCTTTTATAGCCCCTTAAAAGTTCTAAAAAGGTAAATTTAAGACCAAGGCAGGAAAAACTGCTTCCTGCAGAGGGGAATAAACTTACGAGAGGTAGAACAAGAAGAACATATAAATAAATTGCCTCAAAAAAGCAAGGGCAACTTGAAGATGTGTTTCTGATCTTTGGAACGGACCTGAAAGAGGTTAGCAACACCCTCCATAGCACATCTGTTAGAGTCTCTGTTAAGAATAGAATTTGAAAGAAAGAAAAATACCATGTGATATCACCTATGTGTGGAATCTAAAAAAATAACACAAATGAACTTCTTTACAAAACAGAAACAGACTCACAGATGTAGGAAATAAATTTATGGTTATGGAGTAGGCAGGAGGGATAAAGTGGGAGTTCAGAATTGGCAGATACTGACTATTGTGTATAAAACAGATAAGAAGGCCCTACTGTAGAGCACAGGGAACCATATTCGATACCTTGTAATAGCCCACAGTGAAAATACACATCTGTATAACTGAGTCACTGCTGTACACCGGAAACTAACGCAGCATTGTAAGTCGACTAAACTTCAATTTTAAAAATGAAAAACAAAAACGTAAAATACAAACAAAAGAAGTAGAATCTGAGATGACGAGGACCATAGAGCACATGCAGGGTGCCTGTTCACGCGTGGCCTGTTACACGGGCATCGCACATGCCACGTCTTAGCAGTGTGAGCTTTCCTGCTGTCGCCTTGCTTCACGTTAGGAATTTACCCATATGTTGTCAGAGCCAGACCAAGCTGAAGGGGGCGTTCTCACAGAGCAGAGGTCCACGTGGAGGGCGTCCACATGTAGGGGCAGCCCAGTGCAGAGAAGCCAGAGCCCAAGTGGCCCGGGGAGGGGGGTTGCTAAAGCCAGAACTGGGTGAGGAGGGTGTACACGAGGAGAGGGGAATCAGTTCGTGGCTTTCGGGATGTAGAGGGAAGCACAGTCACAGGTTGTGTGTGTGTGTGTGTGTGTGTTTGTGTGTGTGTGTGTATGCTCGTATCCTTTGGCTTTCTCCGCAGAGAGTGCTTGGGAGCATCGACACCCAGTAGCAGGGAACACACCTAGCATCTAGATCGTGGCTTTTAAATGCCATTGTCCATTACAAAGACTCAGAGTTCCTTAAGGAAATCCAGGGCTGGGACAGGGAAAATACAAGATTAGCCTGGAACAAAGCAAGGAATTATTCAAAGAACAATGGAGACGTGTCAAAAAGACACAGAAGCCAGCTGGAGTGGTCTCCTCAGGCTCCATCTAAAACAATTTGAGAATGTGACAGTGAATCTATGTATGTTCATGTATAACTGAAAAACTGCTCTGCACCGGAAATTGACACAACATTGTAAACTGACTATATAACTCAATAAAATAAAGTTAAATAAATAAAACAATTTCAACATTGTAACCTATTGACTAACACAGGAAATGTATGTTAATACAAATAAATAAATTGAAAGTCTGAGGAGCGGAATGTCTCCATAGTTTGAAAGTACCTCCCTACAAGATACTCAGTAATTACGAAGGAGAAAAAGAGTAACTTCGGGTGCAGAGGCCTGACAGGCACCACCTTAATCAAGTGGTCAAAGCGTCAGAGGTGATGGAGCCGACTGAAACCGCGCTCCCCCGAGCAGGGCGCGCTGAATGGAAGGGAGCGTCACTTCTGTGATACTCCTGGCAGAGATGCACAGCTGGAATCTAATCATGAGTGACCAACCGTCAGATAAACGGATTGCTTGAGAGACGGTCTACAAGTAAACAGCTGACCAGTAGTCTCTAGGTTATGTCAAGGTCATGAAAGCCCCAGAAGCCCTGAGGTTTTGTTCCAGGCTGAAGGAGCAGACTTTGGAGATGTGACAGTTACTAAACGTAACACAATCCCAAACTGAGTCCTCTCGCCATAAATAAAAGACACCTGCCAAAGCCTGAATGGATCCCGAATGAAAATGCAATGTATGTTACTATAGTACAGCAACAACGAATCAGCTTTCCTGGTTTCGAGGGTTGTATTGTGAAGGGGGGCGTCCTGCTTGTAAGATGTACGCAAGTGTATGGGGTGACGGGACGTTCAGCTGGTAGCTCGTTTTCAGCTGGTTCAGAGAGACAGGTTCTGTGTCCTGTTCTTCCGTCTTTCCTGTAACTCTTGATTGTTTCTAAGTAAATAATGTTTAGCTTTATATCAGACAAGTTTTCAGAGAAGAAACATGGGTCAGTTCAGAGCAGGACTCACATTGGACTGTGTAGTAAATCTCTTAAAAGAGCTACCCTACGTGTTTGCTCTGTGAGATGGATTGACTCTGAAGTGGAATTTCAGTGTAATGTGATTACTTCATATCTCTGAGTCGTCCTGGGGGGAGCTGGGGGTTATTCGATTTTGTGGTTGTATGTATGTGTGTGTGTCTGTCTATTTTTTCTCACTGCCCTTCTTTTTCTGTGCAACCTCTGCAGGTGATCCACGACTTCTTATTCTCCTTGAAAGAAAGCCCTGAAAAGTTTCAGATTGAAGCCAATTTTCCCCGGAGGGTCCTGCCCTGCATCCCTTCAGAGGAGTGGCCCAACCCGCCGACGCTGCAGGAGGCCGGACTCAGCCACACAGAAGTTCTCTTTGTTCAGGACCTAACAGACGAATGACACTTTTTCTTCCTTTCCTCTTCCACCCCAGTCCCTAAAAGAAATGGAAAAAAACAAAAAATAAGAGAGAAATTCATATTATTATTATTATAATACAATATTTTTTTTAAAAGACTGCTGCATCCTAAGGAAGGATCAGAAACCATGCTGCCTGCAGGAGTCACCACCTGTGTGCACGCGCAAGGTTAGCAGTGAATGTTCCCGCTGGCGAGCTCTCCCTTCCCTTCAGCGTCTGCACCGCGCATCTCCAGCAAAAGGAGGCCTCACCTCCGACCCAGCCGTCGTCCCCACTGGGGAAGGGAGCATTCCTACCAGTTCTTCATTCTTGCTTTTATGGAAAATAAAAGTGAAAAAACCTCCTTCAGCCAGCCACTGCAGCATCTCCTGGGGACTCGCTTCTCCCCCTCCGGAGAAGAGGGAAGAGAAGGCACAGAGCAGAGATGTTCCTTGAACTTCCCACAACTTACGAATAACTTTTAAATTTTTTCAGTTGCTTTGTAATGACCAAAGGAATGAGGCTGACATAGGTGTATTTTTTTCCTTAACATTGTTTGATAAAGAGCCAATTCATAAATCCATGAGCTCATGCCCTGGGCCCCGTAGCCCACGAGAGTGTAATAAAGGTGCCCCTGGCTGGTTTGTGCTTATTTCTGCCATTGTCCCTCTCGTGTTCCCAGAGAGGTGGTTCTTTTTGGTCCAATTCTTGCTGTCCTTCTTGCCTTCTGTGCACCCCACGTGGAGCAGTGGGAGGAAGTCTGGGTTTGGAACCCTACAAAGGCCGTGTATGGATATGCACCCGTGTATGTGCCGTGAACTCCGTGTGGACGCACCTGTGCACACAAGCCAGGCGTCTCCTTGGAGTCGGCCAGGTGGTCATTGTGGGATCTGAACCAAAGGACAGCAGCCCTTCGTTCCTCCTCTGCTGTGTGCACGCTGTCCCGCCTGGCCCTGAGCCACCAGGCTTGGTGCCTTTCCAGAGGACGGGCAGGGCCCGCGGTGGGACCAGCGGCACCACGGCAGAGCGCCCCTCCTGTCTCGTTGGGAGTGTGGTGGTGGTGGTGGTGGTGGTGGTTTGAGGACAGAAAGAACCAGAGCCCTTGAAGGGCGCCGAGCCAGAACGCGGCCTGCGTCAGCCGTTGGAAGGCACATTTCAGTTTCTGATGTAGCCACCTGCTGGAGGCAGTTTTGTCCTCTCCCTCTGTTGCTGTGTTGAAGTAACAGGGTTTTTAACCCCTGGATGCTTTGTCTGTGGTTGAGTTCGTGGGTGCACGGGTCAGGCCACATATGAACAGGTGCCCGCGTGAGCTGACGAGTGTTCCAGAGTGCTCTGCAGCTGGCGCAGACCCGGCACTGCGGGCCCTGAAGTTGCTGCAGGTCGCTAGCGGGCTGTGAGGCCCAGGGTTCCTACCAAGATGAAGCATAGCTTGTTAGATTTGCAGCCTCCAGAGGCTTCCTCTTGCTTAGCTAAAACCTACGGACCATTCTTTAAGGTAGTGGTGTGGCTGCTGCTCCCCATAGCCCTGAGTGGTTGGGGTGGACCCCAAGGAGCAGGGCGTGGGGCCTCAGGGGTGGCCCCAGGGAAACCTGAGGGCTTCCCGATGGCCTTGGCACAGGAGTCTACAGCACCGTCTCCAGGAAAATCTAATTCTGCTCCTGGCTGCCTGTTCTTCCACTTTCCTGCTGTTCCAAGGCCACACGAGTGGGAAATCACCATCTCACTGCTGTCATGAAATGTACCTGCAGTGATGACCAGGATAAACCTGTTCTCCACCTTACGTGAAGTCTGCTTCCTGCTGACAACCATGCAAAGAGGAGTGCTTCCACTTCGTCTCCCCGTCTGGAATTCATAGTGGTTTCTCTGCAGTGCGCAGGAGGGTACTGAGGACCCTCGCCAGGCTGGCTGTACCAAGTATCTTGCCCACACCTCTTTGGGAAGTTGTAAATTTTTTCCTTAATAACTCAGTCTGCATTTTATTTTATGATGTGCACTTTATGCCTCTCGCCTTTTGATAACTTGTCCAGTGAAAGAGGTTAGATGCCAGAGTATTAAGAGAAAGTCTGTTTGTGCTGGTGCAACTCTTGGGATGGCTTACCCATTTACTTTAAGTTTCAAGAGGCTCCACCTGAAGCCCACACCCCGTTTCTGGTCCATGTTGACCCAGCCCTGCTTTACTCAGACTCGGATCCTGTGTCCTTGACAAAGCTGCTGCCTGGGTGCCATCTCCTTTCCTCTGTGAAAGATGCACATTTTGTCAATGCCAGTACAATCTGTGGACCTCTGGGAACTCGATGGGACTTGAAATGAGAAAACATTGAGAAGCCGGTGATCTGCAAGCATTTTGTTTCCAAATCACCTCTGGGTTATTTCAGCTGTTTCCAAATGGCAAGTCATCAACTAAACAAAAATACTTGTTTCCAGTTTGTTCTGCACTCCCAAGACCGAAGTAGATTCGGCTGAGATTCCGCACGAAATGACAAAGCAAAGACACCTAATTGGAGTCAGTTGAATTTCTGCAGCATCAGTTGGGGCCCTTCTGGCCTTTTTTTCCACTTCTGCAGAATTTCCTGCAGCAAATACTTTTCTCCTTGCTTGCTTCCACTATGATGTTTGTATAAGAGATGACCAGTGGAGAATATCTCATTAAAAAAAAAAAAGCTAAAAGAACCTAGAATCTTCAACTGAGCAGTCATTATGAAAATTGCTAATGGTGCCAAGGCCAAGGCAAGTTACAGAAAATGACTGTGGGAGAGTCATGACCCCCAGAGTGCAAGACCAGGGGAGTATTATCTGGTGCTTGAACAAGGAGCTCCACTTACAACTGTTGTTTTTTTTTTTAAAGGACTCGTGAGGATGCAGCAACAGGAAATCCATCCACAAAAGGTGCAGTGCCCCAGCTTGTACTGCACCTGAATAGTTACGTGATAATTTGCTGAAAAAACCTAGTGTACTTTAAATTTTTTTCATAAAGGTTTACATTGTATTGTAGGTTAACATTAAATGTTTTATAACAAAAGTTTCCTAAGTTGTGGGTCTTTCTGTCTAGGAGAGAGGTGGTAGATATTTCTCTCTGTGTGAAGGCAAGGTTGGAACACACGGGAGGAGGGAACAGGGTTTTGCATTGCCGAGCAGCAAAGGAGAATGAAAAAGAAACAAGGAGTTAAAATAGATGTTCTGTGATGTGTTCCTATTAAAAATGGCGGCTCCAGCAGTGGGGGGTGCTGCAGAGAGCTGGCAGATCTGGGTTCAAGCTGGGGCTCCACCGTGACCTCAGACAAGTTCTTTAGCTCCCCTAAGCTTTAGTCTTCCCAATTATTAATGAAGTTAGCACCATGTACCTCAGGATAGGTTTGTAGATAAAGTCAAATAAATGTATATAAAGCTCGTGACTGCACTGATGTCGTCAAGTGTCTGTCCCCCGTTCTCTAAGGAAGTGGATTTTGAAGGTGCATTTCCTTGCAGTAGTAACTGTCAGTTTCTTAAGGAATGTCATTTCTCCTGCTAGAACAGACCTATGTCCTTGCCAGTGAGAGGCTAGGGAAGAGGCACTTTGGACCTAACAGATTCTGGACTACTGGGACTCCCTCCTAGGGCATTTTGGCTTATATTGTCATTTCTGAGAGGAAATTGAAGCCTCAGTTCTTTGCCTTTCTCTTTCCCACTATCCATCCTGGACAAGAACTTATTTTTTTTTCTGTGAGTTACGGATTCTTGTCACCTTCAGAGTCTTCCCTGTCCCTTACCCAAAGGGGTATTTTTTAAAAATGCACAGCATAAGTGTAAACTACAATGTCTTCTCGGTCTAGTAAGTCTGCAAGATGAGTTTATTCACCTTAGATCAGAATGCACTAAAAATGAACACTCCACAACTGATGGTGAAGGTTACATATGAAAACTTTGCCGTCGATCAACAGTCAAGGAAGATGCAAACTGATGCCAGATACAGCTGGTCTCAAATGCTGGCTGTGGCTGTGGCCAACCGACCTCAACTCTAGGCTTCAGTTTATCTGTGAAACAGGGCCAACTGTAAAGATTCGATGAATTGCAGCTGCAGTGTGTCGTGCAGTTAATGTTGGGTGAAAGGTCTTACTGCTGATTTCCAAACAGTTTATAGTTTGCCCACTGCGTGGATCAAGGGAGGGGAGAAAAAGGGGAGGAGGTAAGGTGAGGCTTTGCTTTTGGGCAAATAGTGCCCGACACTTTTCTTGACATGCTTCTGTCGCTGCAGCTGGAACTCCGTGTGTGCTTTTACCCTGATGGAGCCACGAGCCCCCAGCTCCCAGAGTCCCTTCCTCAGGCCTCTTCTGCCACTTTGACACACTGTCCTCCAGGACGAGTTCCTGGAGCACACGCCATCTGCTTGGGCTACTTTATCCTGTTCTGGTTGCTGCTGGCCATTCTCCAGATGTCGGCAACTGATACATTGCAGCGGCAGCCTCAATGACTCCTGTCCACGTATGTGGGTTCCCTAAAATTCCAGTCCTCCTGCTCCCGATCTGCTTTGTGTGGCAGCTGAGTATGGTGGCCTGGAGTCAATCTGGGTTTGAAACTGCTGCTTGCTGACTGATTCAGGGCAAGTTTCCTCATATATAAACCTCATGGCAGTGCATCCTCGCGAAATCCGTTTTAGCGAGCTGCCGCTATCTGTGAAGTGCCTGGCGTCGGATAGACACTGAGTGCTCGCTTCCTCCCCTGATCCCAGCAGTGCCGGGCGGGCGCCGAGCGAGGCCGCCGCCCCCCAGGGCTGCTTCGCCCTCGGGGCTTCAGAGCCAGTCCCTCTCAGCACAGCCGTTACTGCTACAACTCCACTCTCCCTATTCTGCCCTCAGAACCTGCCTGTCCCTTCCCTCTCATCCTCCTGGAATCGCCTTGGCCTCACTGCAAGCCAGTACTGACTGTCACGAGTCCCAGAGTGAACCAGCCGTCCGGTTTGTCTCTCGCTCCTTCAGCCGCAGGACCCAAGCCCGAGGTCACAGTGAGCCGAGGGCCCTGGGGGTCGAGGCCCGCCCCTGGGATCCAGCTCTAAGAAGCCCCCCGCATGTCTCCCGCTTAGACGCTGCTCCCCTCTGTCCCCCTTCCCCAAGGCCAAGGCCACCTGCAGCCTCCTCACCCGAAGCCCATCACAACGGCTTACTTCCTGAGAAAACTGAGGTCTGGTCACACAACTTCCTCATCGGCCTTTTTCACCTCCAAACTGTTCTGTGATGTCACCTGCTTCCTCTTTCCCTTCTGTCTTGTGGGTGTATTCTTTTTTTAAAGACATGTGACTTAAATCCACAACTTCATAAAGTGTTACCTAAGTGTAAACCAAAACCAAAAGGCAGAACGTCTCATCACCGCAGAAACCTGCCCTGCACGTCTCCCCCTTCAGCAGCCTCTCGGAGACGTCCCACCACTCTGACTGCTTTCACATAGTTCTGCCTGCTCTTAAACTTCGTATAAATGGACCCACTGTGTATGTGTGTATGCTTTTGTAACTTCTTTTCATGATGGGAAATTTTAGGAAGTTCAAAAACAAAAGAAAATTACTCTACCACGCTGTCTAGAGATGTCCATTGTCAGTATTATGACGTATACCTTCCCAGACTTCACTGCATATAAAAATATTTTTGTACAGAAATGGGATAATATTATAAATACTGTGCAGTTTCACACATTCTTCTGTACTTTTTTAATGGCTGTGCAGCATTTCACTGACTGGATGTATCATAAATTGATCAAAAGGCTCTTGTAACATTTAGATTATTAATTTTTTTTTGCTTTTCTAGATAATAGATTGATAAACATCCCTGTAGCTAAATGTGCATGTCCATGTTAATTTTCTCAGGAAAAAAAAAATCTAGTTGTGATGTTACTGAGTCAAAAGGGAATGGAAATTTTTACTTTTTAAAATGTTTTTATCTCCAAATTGTAGTCCAGAAAAGTTATTTATACTCCTACCAGCAGTGTGTGCTCAGTTTCCCATCTGTGTCATCATCACCAGGCCTCTCCCAACATGCCCTTTTCAATTGTTTGGATCTCTATCTTCTACCAAAAAATGTTTGGCATCTCCTCCCTTACAAAACCTTAATCTTGCTTTACCCACAAGTCACCACCCTGTCTCCTTCTCTGCCAAGATAGTTTGCACAACCAGCCTCCAATTCTTTCTTAACCTCCTTTATTAATTTTACGTTTCGTCCCCGCTGACTGTGTCTTACAGTCACCCGTGACCTCCTGTTTACCATCTTCAATGGCCTCTTACAAGACATTTCGGAACGTAGGAGCTCCCCAGCTGGTACTTGACGCAGAATGTCTTTTTGTTTCCGTTCCCACAGGTTGGGAGTCAGAATATGTGAATGAGGGCAAAGAATTCACACTTTATCCTGAGGGCCACTGAGGGGTTTAAACCAGGGAAGCACCTGAGATGGGGGTTTGAGAAAGCTGATTCTCCCACTGTGGAGAGATGGTGGGAGGGGCAAGACGGCAGGCACAACTAAGAAGCCACACGATGGAGGCTCAGGTCGGGGGTGACGTGGGGGTGGAGAGAAGCTAATGACGGACTGAGCACTATTTAGGGGACATAATGACCAAGACTTGGAGGCTGATTACATATGGAGGGTCAAGGAGAGTGAGAAATTGAGAGCGATGCCCCCAACAACTGAACTTAGGAGCAAAGTCACTGGTGACCTTGGCAGGTGCTGTTTCAGTGGAGAAGTACGCTGTCAGAGGCAGAAGTAACGCATGGGAGATGAAGTGGAAAGATTGAATATAGGCAGCTCTCAGAAAATGCTGGTGACAGGGTTAGGGGGAAATAGGGTAAGTCAGAGAGGAGCCAGGACAGAGGGAGGGTTATTTGTTTTAAGGTAAGGAGAGGCTGCATTATGTTTAAATGCTAAAAGCAATGAGAGTTTAGAGGCGCCCAGCTAGCTCAGCCGGTAGAGCATGAGACTCTTAAAAGTAATGAGAGTTTAGAGAAAGAGGCTGAAGGTGCACAGAGAAGGGATAAGAGAGAAAGATGTCCCTGGGGTGGTGGCAGGGTGGCCTTAGGAGAAAGGATGAAAGCAGAAGTCAGTGCGTTTGAAGGCAGAAGTTGAGGGTGTCCCCATGTGATGATGTCTGTTCTCTCTGTCAGGTTGAGGGGAAGTGATGGGGCCAGAGGTCTGAGAAGACTGAGGAAGATTTGAAATAGCACTTTCAGGGGAGTGGGGACAGCTCAGTGGTAGAGTGCACACTTAGCATGCACCAGGTCCTAGGTTCAATCCCCAGTACCTCCATTAAAAAAAAAGAGAGATTAAAAAAAATTCATGCTTCTGCAATAGCTATTTTAGAAAGCAGGACAGAGTATAGGAAGACTTAGAAGCCTTTTTCAGCAAACGGAGGGCCCAGGTGAGAGTCAGATGGTGAGAGACCAGAATACACGGTGGGAGTCAGCACAGAGAGCCTCCAGTCTACCTGCTCACAGCTGCCAATTTCTTTTTGAAAACAGAGGCCTCATGGGAGCGTTCAGAGGCTCCCATCCCCCCAGTCTAGAAATCTGGGGCCTTGTGGAACTTCATAACTTCATTTTCCTCCGTCCCTCCACATGGTCACCTTAAGTCGCCAAACAGATCTCATGATTGTCCCCTAGACACAGCAGGCATTCTCCCGCCTAAAGCTAGACCAAGACAACTCATGTTCAAGAGAAACGGTTTAAAGGATAGACTGTCATTTTTTCAAACTCCTCTGATTGCCAGGAAGTAAGTGTCTAGAAAACCACATGATGCTAGTCTTCTAGAATCACATTTATAAGACTTTTGTTTAACTCCAGCTTCTTTACAACCCAGATACTGGCAGGGAGAGTGGATGTAAATCATCACGGCCTGGCATAGCAATTTAGACCCGCACAGCCACGTGCCTGGATGTTCTCACGGCTCTTACCTTCTGGTGTCTGTCTCCAAAGAGGCCTTTCATTGGCAAGCAACAAACAGGGAACCCACTCTAGCTAATTTAAGGAAGAAAACTGATGTTTTGAAAGGCTGAGGGGTAGGTCCCAGAATG